TTCCGTCTCCACGATGCATCTCACAGACTGGAAGTCCTGGGTTTGCATCTGGCTTGCACATGTGTATTGTTGGCCTTGCCGGAAGTTTAGAAAATTCTTTAAGCCAAGTTTCAACACTGAACAATCTTGAGAATTCTCATAAATACCCAAATTTCCTTCTACTTTTTCTTGCAAAACCTCAGAGTATCTCTGACCATAGCACTTCCATACAGCATGGGTACACTGGGGCTGAGTGAGAACTGCCCAGATCAGATATTCTTTGCCCCCTTTGGCCACCAGAGTCCCACTTCCCTCTATTTGGGGCCCTAAGAGGACTGTTTGCAGTTCCTGCTTTGAGAGTGCCCTATCCCCACCCTCGGGCCTTTATTGAGCATTCCATACTGGTACAGGCTGCTGGGAAGAGGTGACCAGATAATGATGTTTCATTCCCATCTAATTGAGAGCAATCTCATCGTTGCCTCTAGGATCCAGGCTGTGCATACATAGTCTCCTTCTAGTGGGGAGTTAATAGGTGGGGTGGAAGCAAAGCTTGCAAATTCTTTTTAGCTGCCTCATCACAATATGGTCCTTAGATAAGTAATCACACATGGACTTATTTCTCTTTGAGGAAAAACACAACATTAGAGCAACAACGGCTCAGCATGCCACAAAACACCTTCCTATGTATTTTCCTGTTTTGAAAGACAAGCCTGCCACTTGAACTTGTCCAAACTTCTCTATTAAGCAAGCATGTCTTTTTGTTTTTAGAACAATCCACCCCATACATCTTTGTTGGTAAAACTGCACCACAGGCTTCCCAATGTTTTCATTACAAAGAGGGATTATTAGAAACTCTGCTGGGCAATTCATTAAAACATTGTCACTGATCTCGCCCCATTGCAGCTTGAATAACCCAGTACTCCATAGAGGCTAGCAAGTTCTAAATAAAATGGAAACACGGCTGAGATTCTTGGACAAAAAGAAAGGAATACATAAGGAGTCAGATTGCTGGGGATCCTGCAGAGGACTGGCTGTCAGGACCGGTGTGCACTGAAGTTAGGGAGAACTGTGGTATGGTTGTTTCCCAGTGAGTGTGATCTAAAGCCAGTATTAAAGGAGCCTGAAGATTTTAAAGATGGGAAGGAAGGGAGCTCTGATGTGGTGGGAAGGTGATGGCACTTTTGGTCTCCAAGAAAAGTTCAGAAGCAAATGAACATAGTGGCCTTAGGATCAGGACGTAGAGGTTAGTGGCCCACAAGGGAGGCTTAAAACTAAGCCAGATTTTAGGTATCAGCTGGGGAACTTACTAGGTTTTGGTCTTGGATGGGAAACAAAAGTTGAGACAGGAAACTGAGGCAAGTTCCTAATCATATGGGCTATCGGAACACAACATGGCTCAGAAGCCTGTGGTTCAAGAAGCTCATAGGAACCAGGGCTCCTCTTCGTCACCAGGTAACCAGATACAGATGAGTTTGAGTCCTTACCAGCTCTTGGTAACTGTATATATTGTTTTGTTATTGGTGTTTGTCCCAGAGGGACTAAGAGGTGTCTGGGGCTTATAGGTACTTTATTACTTAGGGTTTCTACTGCTGCAATAAAACACCACAACCAAAAAGCAAGTTGGGGAGGAAGGGGCTTATTTGGCTTATAGTTCCAAAGCACTGTTCATCATTGAAGGAAATCAGCTGGAACTCAAACAGGGTAGGATCCTGGAGGCAGAAGCTGATGCAGAGGGCTGCTGCTTACTGGCTTGCTTTCCCAGGCTTTTTCAGCTTGATTTCTTATAGAACCCAGGACCACCAGCCCATGGGAGCCACCAACACCAACAGGCTGGGTCGTCTCACATAAATTACTAATTAATCTGTCACTTGTGGTTTTGACCTTAGCCATTCTGACAGGTATAAGAGAAATCTTAGTGTTGCTTTGATTTGCATTTCCCTGATGGCTAAGGATGTTGAACATTTCTTTAAGTGTTTCTTGGCCATTTAAGATTCTTCTGTTGAGAACTCTCTGTTTAGAACCATGACCCAGAAAGACAAATGCAGTATGTACTCACTCATAAGTGGACATTAGCTGTAAAATAAAGGATAGCCATTCTACGACCCACAGTCTCAGAGAGACTAGGTAACAAGGAGGGCTCAAGGGGGGACACCTGGATCTCACCAGGAAGGGGAAATAGAAGAGATTTCATAAGTGGACTAAGGATGGGTGGGGATGGGAGCACCAGCAACCAGGTTGGGAAGGGATGGAGGGGGAGAGTACTGAAAGAGAATACTATACTGAAAAGGGGTCATTTGGGGTCAAACAGAAATCTGGCCCAAGGGAATTTCCCAGGAATCCACAAGGATGACCCCTGCTAAGACTCCTAGCAATAGCAGATACCTCTCCTGAACTGGCCACCTTCTGTGACCAGGCAAGACTTCTAGTGGAGGAATTGGGACACCAACACAGCCACATAACCTTTGTCCATCAGTCTGTCCTGCCTATTGGATGTGCTGGGGTAAACGTGACCAAGAGATTGAGGGAGTATCCAACCAATGACTGGTCTAACCCAAGACCAATGCCACAAGAGTAAGCTAGGGGTGGGCTTACTCTCGTAAGCATGGGTCTTAGGCCATTTTTACCCCACATACCCCATAGGAAGGGCAGACTAATGGAAAAAAAATAAAAAAATGTTCTTTGGAAGTAGATAATCAAAACTTGCACTAATAAAATTAAAAATGAAATCCAAGTTTCAATGCTTTCATACCCATGTTGATTTTAAGAATACCCTGGAGACACACTCAAAAAATACTTCCTATGCACACTTACTTTCTTCTGTGAACCTTGTTATTCCCCTCTCCCATGCAAGGTCAGAAAGAGAAGGTTTGAAGGTGATAGTGTGCTTATGATTAGATTATTATTACCTTCCTCCGTGCCATTATACTTTTTGAAATGGCCACTTAAGCCTCCTCCGAGTTTAAATCCAATTGAAGTAGCATGCACTTTTACATAACTTAAGAACATACATTACAACCCTTTTCATAGAAGTTTTATTTGTACAGTTGAAAAAGAGAACAAGGGGAATGGGGGGATGGATACATAAATATGAGTAGTAATTAAAGAACCTAAATAAACAAAAAAGCACAAAAAGAATAATCTATTTTCAATAATAATAATATGTATTAAATTTTTAAAAAGAAAAAGAGAACAAGGCTGGTGGGATGGCTCCATGGGTTAAAAAACCTGCCCCAAAAGTGTGAGGACATGAGCTCACATCCCTGGAGCCCAAGGAAAGCCGGAACCAATGGAAATCACCTCTATGATTCCAGCTCTCCTGCAGTAAGGTGCTAGGAGGGGATCTGAGAATCTCTGGAAGCCCCCTGGCCAGCTAGCCTGACATATGCAGCAGGACAAAAAAGACTTTGGAGGCAAGGACCAGAACCTTTCTAGTGAATATTGTGGCATACATTACACACACACACACACACACACACACACAGCCCATACAACAAAGGGGGTGAAAGTAAGTTTAAAAACAAAATGTTATAATCATTGTCAACAACTTGAAGAGTTTTTCAAAACATGTATGTCAGTGTATGTTTGTATATGTGTGTGTGAACGTACATGGACATATACACACAGATGCATTCAGGTGTCTTTATTAGTATTTTTGGTACCTGTGCTGGCAAGTCTTATGTCAACTTGACACACAAACTAGAGTTATCTGAAAGGAGCGAAACTCAATAGAGAAAATGCCTCCATAAGATGCAGCTGTGAGGCATTTTCTTTTTTTTAATTAATTACTTAGTTAATTATACATCCCAAATAAAGTTTCCCCTCTCTCCTCTCCTCCAAGTCTTTCTTCCCCACATCCCTGCCACCCACCCCTAATCCACTCCTCCTCCATTTCTGTTCAGGAAAGAGCAGGCCTCCCATGGATACCAACAAAACAAGGAAGGAATGTCAAGTTTCAGTAAGACTAAGCACCTCCCCCTGTATTAAGGCTGGGTAAGGCAATCTGCTATGAGGAATAGGGTCCCAAAAGCCAGCGACAGAGTCAGAGACAGCCCCCACTTCTACTGTTAGGAGTCCCACAAGAAGACCAAGCTACATAACTGTCCCTTATATGCAAAGGACCTTCAGCAGTCCCATGCAGGCTCCCTGGTTATGGATTTACTCTGTGAGCCCAGGTTAGTTGATTCTGTGGGGTTTTTTTGTGATGCCCTTGACTCCTCTGGTTCCTAAAATCCTTCCTCCCAGTCCCTCACTCAGGCTGACGTTCTCCGTCTCCATTTCCATCAGTTGCTGGACAAAGCCTCTTGATGACAACTGAGCTAGGCACCAATCTATGAGTACAGCAGAATATTGTTCGGCATATTTACATTGTTTTTCCAGGTGTTTGGTTCTAACCTAGGTCTCTGGCTCATCCAGCCTGTGGGTCCTGGCATAACTCTAGGGAAGTTGGTCAGTCTGTGTCTGGATGTTCTAGACTCTAGAACATCTGCCTGGTGGGACCCAAGTAGGACAATACTCAGGATTAAAAGATGGAGTCAATTTAAAACGACCAGGAGCCAGCTGGAGCCAAACCCAGTACAATGTAGATGCCAGCAGATTATATCTCATTAAATGAAGTAAGGCTCTACAAGTTCATATTGAGAACAGCTGGAGGGCTGAGACCTGCCGGAGGGATAAATTGGCAAGAAAGAGCAACTCTAAAGTCTGCTGTAGAAATACCAGCGGCGCAGTCAGTCCCAAATACATGTTCCAGGAAGATGATTGGATGGTAATGCGTCTCTCACTCTTTCAGGGCCAATCACAATCAGACCCTTATTGGGCACTCTGAGCCAACTTCCCATCCAATCACAAAACAAGGGCACTTTAAATTCACTTTAACCAATCCAAGGGATTCTCATTGAGGCCACATGGGCACCACTGACTGTTCTGGATTGTCAGCACTGGTTATAACTTGAAATAGCCATCAGGGGGCAGTGTCTCCCAGTGCCTGGTCCCAATCTCAGATCTGCTTGGACATTTTTTCTTTCTTTTTTTAAAGCTTCTCACTTGTTTCTTTGTGTCTCCCAAATGAGAACTATAGGAATCAAAAGGACAGATATTTCAGGATAGAAACAGAGGTGCAAAGATACATTAACAGTCAAGATCGAATCCCTATCCTACTTGGGTGCATAGTTCCAAAATCAACTACAGAAATGGAGGTTGAAGTTGGCCCTGGTGAGTCATTCAGGCTGTGTCTGGGGACGACTGAATACCATTAGGATGACACACTTCTGTGAACATTTGATGGTGTTCTTTTCATTCCCTCTCAAAGGTGAGTAATTGAGAATTCCACAGAGACATCAAGGTCATCTTTGTTTTATTAGCAATAACATGGCCACTTAAATAAGAGATGAATGAGTGAGGGTAGGTAGAAGGGTGGGAATAAGAGAGGCAGAAAGAGAGGCTGAAACTACCCTGTGTCTGCCTCTTATTTGTCTTCTATTGGCCTGGCTTTTGTAATTTTATACTCCTGAGTTTGGGGTCATGATGTCCTCCTTACGTCTTACGATGTAGAATATCGAGGGCTGGTCAAGAGTTATTTTTCCTTTATCATAGGTAATGAGGAAACAGCTTTCTTGGTTTTCAAAGCCACTGTCTTTTTAACCACACTATCCAATTTAAAAAAAAGAAAACACCTCTGAAGCTAATCATTGTGATCTGTCACTAGGGAACTGGCTGTGAGTGGCCTTCAGATGCTGGAAGTGAAAGAACCCAATAATGTAACCGAGGAAAAGTGAGGTGGCTCTATGTGCCTGCATGGTCAGCAGCCGTAGTCATTGTAATGGGTCAACGGCGTGCTGAAGTTTGATTTCGTTTGTATGTCTTTAGAACTACTGCAGGAAGCAGAGACAGAAGGGACTGCCAAAAATGCTTAAGTCTATTTAGACTATAAAATATGACTCACTATTTTAAAAGAGGCACACACACACTGTATTCTGGAAGTGAGTTTTCCAGTCTGCTGACTGGCTTGTTATTTTCTATACCTGTTCCCAATTTACATACCTTCCATTGCCTCCATCTGTCTTGGGGAATTGTGTGGTCCTGCCGGCCAAGTTCTTTTTTTTCTTTTCTTTCTTTCTTTCTTTTTTTTTTTTTTTTCAGGAAGCCTCTCCAGACAACTGATTGTGCAGAGTCCTAGAGCTCTTGTGGAACACATGCTGAGATTTAAAACAGATCATGTTACTAGGGCTTGTTGCCGCTTTGTGTTCATGCCTTACTTTCCTAATAGGATTTTAACTTTTGCTAAGCTTTGAACCCCTGAAGGAGAGGAATGCTGCATGCTTCTGGATCTTTTCCAGCATCCAGTGTGGAACTAAAGATATCCCAGTGGAGACTTTATATAACTAACTACCATTAGGCTAAAGATTTTTGTGTAACTAATTTCAGCATCGTTGTTGGGAATCCCAAGACAAAATGATAATTGCATTCTAGGTAGTCTTAAAAGGTCAAATAGTCACTTTTTAAAATGTTCCAAACTTCTGAGATAAAAAGGACACTTTTACTAAGTGGGTTTCATACACTTTGCTAATTTATCACTCACCTAAGTTTTGAATATTTTAAACCATGAAATTTCTCAATAGATAAAAGGGAAATTGAAAGGAAATACAAAAACCATGAGGAAGGATGGACATGGTAGTGTTTTATGAACACAGGTGGAGATGTGTTTGAGTTTGGCCAGGCAGTCTTCAGTCTCCTTCCTTCACTAAGCTCCTCTGCCTTGCTTGATGTCCCATGCCTCTACCAAAGAACAAGACTGACTGAATATTGTGGCTTCAAACATCCATGCCCCATATAGTCTGATGAGTCAGTCATTCAGTCCAAGGTGGTCTGTCTAGATGTTCTATGACCTTATATAGCATTGCTCTGTGTGAATTTTTAAAAAAGACAATTTGAATCATTCTGTGAAGTTTCTCATATGAGTGTTGGGGAGTGTTCCCCAACCTATTAAAAACCTCAGAAGAAATGCTGGCCTATGATGCTGAATAACCATGTCTGCTTCACTAACTGTGGCTCCTAACAACAGAAAAAAAGCCAAGGGCTGGGCCAGGAAAGATAGCTCAGTGGGCAAATGGATTTTAGTGAGAGCATGAGGTATGCTCTCTGAGAAACCATGCAAAGAGCCAGGTATGGTAGCAAGCATCTGTAATCCAATTGGTGGGCAGCAAAGACAAGCAGGTTTCAGGAACTGATGCCTAAGCAGCCTACCCAAATGCTGAATTTCAGCTTTAGCGAAGTAAGGTAGAGAACGAAGGAGAAAAACCTCTGGTCTCCACAAGCCCCTGTGCCCTCCCCTCCAAAAAAGAAGCAAAGATGGTACTGTGTAGGATTCCATATTCAAATAGATGAGTTCCCATTGGACCACAGGTTGTAAGTTTTGGGCCATTACCATGATTTGCAGTGCGTTGATGGCTTGTAGCTGTATCTGACACCGAGGTGAGCTCACAGAAAACCATGATGTAATTTTCAGACTGTATAAAACATCTTTGCAGCATTGCTAAATTTCTTTGCATATTCTTTGTCCTTTGCAGACATCTTCTTGCCGGTCCATGTAACTGATGTAGTATGAAAAGTAAGCTGTCACCAAGGAAACGGAGATTACAGATGGAATACACATCTTACTCTGGCTGAGGCAGACAGTGCAGATGAGGCACGCTTACCTCTGAAGAAAGGAGTGTTTGAAGGAAGACTTTAGATAGCCAACCTTCACCCTGATATTTCCAATGAAATATTTTGATATTTTTCAAACAATAGGCCAGTCAGAGGCAGAGATAATGTGGCAGTGCCTGATGTTGACATACCACTAAAATGTTTTCTATTTCTTTACCCCAATCAGAAACACTCTAGTGTCTCCATGAGGGGACAGCTTCTGGGAAAAGGGAAGTCTATCTCCTCTCACTACCAGTGAATTCTCCTTTATATTGGCATTTGTGTTGTCTATGCTTATTACGTTTTCATTATAGTCCTTTATCATATTTAACTTAACTTAAAAAACCATATGGTTTCTAAATGCAGAAGGTAATAAATAGCATTTAATACACATTAAATTAAATAATTCTGTTCTATATGTTTGCTCTCCTCATATATGACTAGTGCACTGGCTCGTTTTCTTTGTCAACTTGACACAAGCTAGAGTCATCAGAGGGGAAGGATCCTCAGTCGAGGAAAAGCTTCCTTGAGATCCAACTGAAAGGCATTTTCTCAATTAGTGATCAATGGGGGAGGGCCCAGACCACAGTGGGTAGTGCCTTCCCTGGTCTGGTTGGTCCTTGGTTCTATAAGAAAACAGACTGAGCAAGCCATGGGAAGCAAACTAGTAAGCAACATCCATGGCCTCTACATCTGCTCCTGATTCCAGGATCCTTCCCCTCTTGAGTTCCTGTCCTGACTTCCTTCAGTACTGAACAGCAATGTGGAAGTGTAAGCCAAATCAACCCTTTCTTCCCGGACTTGTTTTTGGTCATGGTGTTGCAGCAATAGAAACCCCAACCATGAAACTAACAGTACTAGGGGAGCAAGTTCATCAAGGGACTTTAGGCATGAAGGTTTGGTTGAGCTTTTTTCTACTTTTGGTCTTCTTTGAGCCTATATGTAGCTTCCACTCTTTCCTTTGTACTCAGTTTCAACCTCATGTTTAAGTAGGTGGCAATGGGAGCATAGTGACATCCTTTCAAGTATGACAGCTGCTCGCCCTGCAGCTGTGTCCACTACTCTTCCTTCTAGTCAATGCAGCCACTCATTATGCCCTTATCTTGTCACCTTTGCTAAGTGAAGACACCATTGCAGAGAAACCCTTGTAATTTACTCATCATTGATCTAATTTCCCCTTCTCCACGGGGTCTTTCTATTAACCATCAAAGTGCCATTATATAACTTACCAAAACACTTTTTGACTCTTCTCCCTGCCCCATAGATATATCACATTTTTATTTCCTCTTTTTGCTCATTGTATATTCAGTCCATAGAGCAGTTCTTTTTATTTTTTTTTGTTGCTGATATATTTATTTTGTGTGCAAGTTTGTGGAGAGGTGTCATGGTGGATGTGGGTGTCTGAAGGTCAGAGAACAACTTGAAGAATCCGTTCTCTCCTTCCTCCATGTGGACTATGGGAATTGAACTCACTGTGAATCTTGGTAAAGGCTATTTTGCTTGCTAAGCCATTTCACCAGCCCCTAGAGTGGTTCTTGATTAAAAAACAAAACAAAATGCAAAACAAAACATCAATTGGAAAAGCAGAGAAACTATTTAATTTGTCTCCTTCTCTGATTTCTTGTTTCATTTTGACACTTTCACATTGAAAATTTTCATATAAAAGCTTAGGTATTAATGTTCAAAAGGTCTTTGTTTTGTTCTAAAATATGTATTGATAGATTGATCACAAAATTTTAGGTTCAGGATAACTGAAAATAAGTGAAAATAATTTTGAGATATGGCCATTCTTTCATTTTGATTTTTGTTGGTTGTTGTTGTTATTGTGGATTTTTTTGTTTTGTTTTGAGACAGGGTGCTTGATACTACTCAAGCTGAACTGTGGCAGTTGTAGCCCAAGGTTGACCTTGAACTCTGGATCTTCCTGCCTCTACTTGTGGCACCAAGCCTGGTAGCCATTCCTTCACACTGTATCCTTATTGGAAGCCGTGTGATTTTCTTTACATCCTTAGTTAGCTGACTGTCTAGAATGTGAGTCTAGATTATATCTTAAGTTCTCCCCCAGTGCTCCCCAGGCTTGGTTGTTGGCAGGCCCTTAGTGTCTGAACACTTTTTTGGTTTTTAAGTCTGAGACAATTTCTTGTACTATATGTTGTCTTTGTTTTCGTTTTATTTCTTCCTCTTGTCCTGCATGATTTCTCCAATCTCTTTGTCAAATACTGTCACCTTTTATGTCATCCAACTTCCCTCATATTTTCAGTTGTTCCTGTGCTCCTATTTTGAGAGACTGCCTTGATTTACCTTTATGCTTACCTTTGTCCTTTGGTATGCTCCCATCATTTAGCCTCAACACACTTTCATTAGATGAATCTCCTTGTACTCAGCTTTACCTATTAATTATTTTTATTTTTATTTTTTGTGTGTATGTATCTGAGTTTATGTGTGCCAAAGCAGATTCCCTCTGGAGGCCAAAGGGTTTCTATGCCATGGAACTGGAGTTACTAGAGATTGTGAGCCCCCTGATGTGGGTACTGGGAAGTGAACCTGGGTCCCCACAAGAGCAGTAAGTGATTTTGACTATTGATAGAGAGGGGTCTCTATCTCCCTTAGTCTCTCTCTCTCTCTCCCTCTCTCTCACCCCTCTCTCTCCCTCTCCCTCCTCCTCTCTCTTCTTGTCTCTCTCTCATAGCAATTTCCTTTATGATAAATACAAATGTCCCCAAGGATACTAATTCAGATGTTTTAAAGAAGTCTCTTTTGTTGTTGACTTTTGGGTTAATTGTTTTATAATTTCACCAAAGACCCTTTTTGATATTGTTTGTTTACTTTTTTTAGTACTCTCTTGTGGTGTGGCTGTATCTGATATAGGGCCACCTGAGAATTTCGGTTTCCTCTGCCATTGAATCAATTAGAGTTTTAATAGTACAGCTCCTTGAATATGTGTTATGCATGAATGGTTACCATTGCATAAAATAGTACAATATAGAAGCAATACAAATATGATATATATATGCATATATGTATATAATCACTGTTAACATTTTTGTGTGTTTTCTTTACATTTCTAACACACACACACACACACACACACACACACACACACGTTGCTGCATGTCATTTCAAGACAGAATATCATGTATTGGGAAATGTAAGAACAGTATTATCACACTAGACTATCAGGAAAAGAAGGAACTAAAGTACTCACAAAGATCAGGATACACTTGAAAATTATGGAGAGTTCTGTGAAGGCAAAGACATGACTCTCCTTCACACAAAGTTAAAAAAAAAAAAAAAACTGAGCCACCATGATAAGAGTGGCTCCTCCACAGCACTGAGATTATGTCCCTAGTAGAATTTCACAGACAAAGGAAAGAAAAAGATCACTTCAGTCAGAAGAGACAGAAAAGCTCCAGGAACAGGGAGCAACCAATAGCTTTAAAACAAGAGAAAGATATCAGCGTGCTATCATGTGAGACAGACAGCAAGAGCAAGGCACTGGACCAAAAGAGGCAGAGTTAGGAGGACTGTGTGGGATCTGTAGGCTGCATCTAGGATTTCTCTCTTCATCTTAGACATAGTGGAGGGAGGACTGGCAGCAGTGAACTTAGCCCACTAATGCTTAAATTTGAAAAGAAGACTTTGATTGCACTGACATTAGGATCCCAGTTAGGAGATTCCTGGTGTAACAGCATAGAGAGTGGAGAGAAATATTTAAAGGGAATTGTCAAGATGTCTAGAGAATTCCTGGCCATTACAGACTCATAGATGCCCTTTCGCCAGGCAGGGAGTGATCCTAGAGAATCATGGGGTGGAGGCTGAGTTCTGAGTTGAATACCTTGAATATGTAGAGTTTGTGAGACAGTCAAATGACGATTATGGCTATTTATTTGCGTTTAAAACTTAGAGGTGTGAACCAGACAGATTCCATAAATGAGAGAATCCTAGACTTGGGGGTGGGGAGTGAAGCTGTGCCTGAGGGAAAGCCACTCCACATACTGGCACCAGTTTCTAACACAGTCATAAAGTAGGAACACCTGCTCATCCATGCTTATCATAGTACTTTACATTATTAAATATCTTGATCTTTTCTAAAGTGACAGATAAAAGCAGGTGAAACGTCTCTTTAGCTTTGGCTTGAATTTGGCAATGTTTTAAAAATATACATATATATTACAAATTCTTAATAATTTCATACATGTCTACAAGAAAATAAGAATTATCTACCCCTTTCTCCCCATCCAACTCCTCCCATATCCCTCAAACTTATTCCTTCCCTACTCAACTACAGGAGCTATTTGCAACTGATAGCTTTCGTGGGAGGAGAATCATTCTTTCTTGAGTGTGTTCCCACAGGTTGATTTCCCACACTTCAGTGGATGGCCCCACCCCATGCATGGATAGGTAGCACTAATTAGACTTATCAAAACAGTGTCCTGAATTTTACAAAAGTGATACCAAGCTTCTTTATCTTTGTTTATTACTCATTGAATTTTTTATGTGATTTTTTTTTTGTGGATATGAACGTACATTTTTTTTTTCTGGCTGAAATTCCATAGTTCCATCAGTGCTCAACATGACTACCAAATCTCCAAATCACTGATCTGGAGTGGTTCGGAACAGGGAAGCATCTTCCCTTGCCAGGTCTCCGTAGGGTTATTTGATCCCTGCCATCTGGCCTTCTCAGAGGCGTTTTTTCATCTCATGACTGTTCCTCGGTGTGACAGTGATTCCATGTCTCAGCTTGGGGCCACCAGTGCCCCTATCTGGTGACTGGAATATTCTATGTTCCTGTCTTCTCCTGGAGTCTTTATGCTTTTAACATTTTCTTCCTCCAAATGCAAGAGAAAAACCGGTGACCTTTTCATTACATTGGAATGAACGCCTATCCTTTTCACTGTAAATTCTTAGATATTTGGCATGGACATTCTTCTTCATAATCAAAAGCGGCCACAGAAGCCTAGGCATCAGGTGGGACATGAGGGACATGGATGTACTTGTTTCTGTAATTCCTGTACTTGTCAGTGTTATGGGTAGTGAGTGAGTGTGCTTTGCTCTCAACATGTGCTTTAAGTCATTTAAAGGCATTCCGGGGGCCTAGCACTAGGGGGAGCATGAGGCATATTGTTGCACTTAGCGGAGGCCTGAGTGAGGGACTGAAGGGCTAGGGTATAGAGAGCATTAGCAATTTAGAAGGAAGTTGGTAGGGTTTTGTCCTGACTCTTGTACTGAGTGTGCATATTTGGTGGAAGATCCACCTGCAGCCAGGATCTGGACAGGGCACACATTAGAGGCCATGGACTTAGAAGGACTTAGAACAACACTTTTCACCATCTGGGGATGGTGGGGGAAGTGGAGTCACTGGGCTTCATGCATACACACTCTACATAGAGTTGGTGCATTCCACCTTACTCGTGCTTT